CAGAATTTGGCTCACAGAACACAACCAAGAAAGGCTGGAGAAACTGATTCTTCCAACTCTCTGTAATGGAGGGATATTTTGACAATTATATAGAAAGCCACCAAAGCAAGAATTGGGTAAAATGGTTAACCAGCTTACCAACTTCCAGGAAAAAAAAGAAGTTCAAGGTATGGTGAAAGTTTGGTCTTTCATATACAAAAAAAGCACACATGACCAAAGTACAAAGGCAAATGGTAAACCCTAAATTTTAGTTTTTGTGTTCTTTCATCTCTACAACTGTAATACAACTCAAATCCTTTTTCCCACTTGGGATCTTTTAATGGGAAAATTGGGATAAAAAGGCTAATTAAAAAGTCACTCTGTAGACTCCTGAGTCATCTCCAATCATAACATGACATCTTTTGCTTTGGGATGTTAGAATTTAATTACTCAATGTGTTTACCTTCTGCTCATTGCAAATTATATATTCATATTAAAATAGGAAATGGAATGACCTCCCAATTTGAACTGCAATCATTGAAAAGGTAATCCACAAACAGGCTTATCTTTACACTCATTCCTGATGCATTATGAAAACAAAAGTCAATTTTGCTTCCACTGCCTGCCTAGAAACAAATTCAGCTAAAAAAGGGCAAGAAAAAACAGAATGAAAGGTATGTCTATACTGCCTCCACCCACTCACTCCTGCTCCATGGGCATTGAATCCCAGAAATAAGGCAAAGTGGGAGCCTAAGTGTAGTGATGAGTTCAAGCCAAGAAGCACAACTAAGACTGAGACCTCAAACGTATGGACAACACCACTCTATGCCATTATAATGTAAGAAAACAGACATTTGAGGCATGTTTTGTGGTGACATTCCTTGGAAAATCAAAAGTTTCACTAAGAAGTACTGCAAGACTGAACGTTCAGAAGGTACTGTGAAGAACTATCCTAATCAGAGTATTTATTAAAAAGAACAGGCACTCTCAAAGCCCTTAGTTTTCTGCTGTGCTGATCTCTGCTTATTAGAGAGGCTCATAAAGTCATCCTTATATGTGTTGGTCTAGCAGACTACAAACAGAACTGGGAGCCAGAAGTTCCTGAATTGTAATATTAATTCTGACATTCTTTGCCTGTTTCTCCATCTCTAAAATGGGGATAGCACTTAACCACCTACCAACTCGTTATGCATGTTGGTTAGTGTATTTCAGACAAAGGATTCCTTTGGGGTGATCAAGTCTTTTAGTTTTAAAACCAGTTGGGCCACTAAGTCACACTGTAGGCCTGTGCCAAAATGACCCTAACTCTTTTTGCTTATCGGGTTTTACACATACTTACACACACATGCACACTTTGGTCTTTAAAACAAGCAGGACATCCAAATCTAGACCACAGTGGTTCATCTACATGCTCATAAATGCACTAAAATTACTGTGCATAAGTTTAGTACTTGGATAACCAAGTACTACATCAAAATGCAGTAACTGGTGCGACTGCGCAATAGTGCCAGCAAATGGCTTTTTAGTGATGTTAGCTGAGCAGTAGTGTATTAGCATGGGTTTTGCCCTACACATTACTGTGCTAGTGCACAGCTAGTGTCTCTTGTAGATTCACCCAGTATGATTTCAAGATCAGACCTGTAATATCTGCAACTAGGTTTAAGGAGATCCAGCATGGTTTTCTTTAATAGCAAGGCCAGGAGCTGCTTACAGAGCCAGGTTATGAATGAGATTTTCTAGATCGGGGTAGTGCCTGTGCCACTTGTCCTCCAGGACAAGTGGCACAGGCACCCTGTGTGTGTGGCATGTGGCAGACTGGGAAAGGAGCAGGCAGTACAGCAGCGGACAAAACAGGGAACAGCAGAGTTGCAGATAGGGTAGGGAGTAGAAAGCAGAGCAGCATATTAGGTAGGGAACACAGAGCAGGGACAGGAGAAAGCAATTACAGTGACACTCAGGAGGGGATGGGCCTTAATTTGTGGTACACCTGCCAAAAAAGATTGGCCCCCACTGATCTAGATAGTCTGGCAACACATTTTTAGTGTGGTTCTATAAAATGTCTTTTCTCATATCTGAAAGGAAAAGCCTCTTGCAATACCTATAAGCTTAATCTACACAACAGCTCCAATGAGGTTTAAATTGATTTGGTTAAACCATTTTCCAAACTAGATAGAATTCTGAAGAAAGTCTTAACAGCCCATATTGACTTAATGTCTTATGTGTTCCAGTGCTTAGGGATTAGGGTTTATATGTTCTCAGAAGTCTGTATGCATGACAACAAAGGAGGCATCTCAGGGAAGGAACTCTTACTATGGCACAGACCTCAGAAGTCAAAATGTACTTTATCCACTGAAGGTATTGTCTACCATATAGCAGAACCTAAACCAGCAGGCTTGGGTAGTAGTAGCAATATAGTCATGGTAAAATGGAATGTCAGCTAATGACAGTGTAAGCTAATTTACCTTGTGTCTTGGGTAGGTTTTGCAGGATGCACTGGGCTGTGGCTAGACTGCTGCCCATGCCAAACTGCGAAGTAACTGGTCTGCTGTACTTCTCGCCATTTGCATATTTGCCCTCTCCTTGTCCTGCAGCTACTGGAATAAACATGAGTTCTGTGGAAGTTGCTCATTTTCCCATTATCCACGTATCTAACACAAGGGAATAAGCTGGTGCCTTAAGACCTCTTTCTCCTTTGTACAAATGCACAAGGAAGGGGATAATATGTGCTTTAAGCACCAGAAGTTAAGCATGTTTGCCTGAGAAGTCTAAGAAATAAAAAATAATGCACATAATATTGTAGCAGTCTACATCTGAAAAAAGGAACTGAAAAGAAAATGTAAAACTAAAGACAGAAATCTCCAGGAAGCAACCCAAGGAGTTTTGGAACTAGGTAAAACAATTTAAATACTACTCCAAATCCCTACCAAGGTTAAGCCTACTTATTCCTTTCTGCAGATTGAATGCAGTATCAAGTAGTGAAATCAAGAGACATCTAAACACTATAAACCTCAAAAGCAAAGCAGTCAGGTATCAGGAGGTGAAGGTCATAGGAATGTAGGAACAGAAGGGACCTCTCAGTTCATTAAGTCCACGTCTCTGAATACAGGCAACATTTTGTACCAGAGTCTACATGAACATCCACTTTGGCACACCACAGCCAAATAGCATAAAAAGGGTGTATGTATGATTTAGAACAGGGCTGCCCAAGTGGCAGCCCACAAGGGGTTAAACTGTAACCAGTAGGGCTTGTTGGCATGGCTCCAGAACCTGGAGGTGAAGGATGCTGTTGCTCACCACTCCACTGTCTTGCCCACCACTGAAATCAGGGTCTTCAGTTGCTGTTGGTAACTCAAATCAACATCAGAGGAAAGTAAGGTGGTGAGAGGAAGCAGAACCCCCTAGGTTTTGGAGCTGTGCCAATGAACTAGCTCTAGAAGCTGGCCTGACAAGACACCATTCTGCCATTGGAGGTGGACCATTTATCTCTGTAGCCCAGATGTGGCCCACTGCGCCAAATAAGCTGGGCATCCCAGAAGTAGAAGAAAAAAAATGATATTTCTGTCACAAGCTAAGGCATGCTTCATTCATTCACCCTTTCCACAAAGCTGGCTAGTTTTAGAAAGATTTTATTCTTCAGCCCTGGCAAGCTAGGTGAAGAATTAGAAAAGCTTTGGGTCAACCTACATCTTGGGAAAAATTACATGATGGATAGGTTTGACTGGGCCAAAGTTAATAGTGCAAGAATAGAAGTTACACAGAATGTAACTAGGTATCTTTGAAACACTAAACATAATGCAAATGGGTGAGTAGCAAGAATGTGGCATGCCCAGTTCTTCCTTTTACAATTCCCATCATGGCTTGTTGTCTGGGACTGACATTCTCCACTCCTTGTGGATTTACTTTAATGACACTGTTTCCCACCCTCATATTCAACATATGGGGAAAAAAAGCCTCTCATCTTGAATTCAAGTACAATACATCCTTGCCTCCCTCTCTACCCCCCCGCCCAACTGTTTACCTTCACTCATATCTCCAGCTCCGGCTTTGGCCCCGCTCTGGCCCAAGGCACAGAGCACATGGTGGCTGGAACTGGCCAGGCAGTAACAGTGGCAATAGTGGCAGCTGCAACCCTGACTCTGGCTCCCGCTCTGACCCAGTCTGGGGCCCAGGGCTGGGGATGCTATTGCTGCTGTCATTACTGCTTGACCAGGTGGGGGCCAGAACCACCATGTACTCTGTGCCTTGGGCCAAAGCTGACTGACAGTAAAAGGCAGGGCAAGGGGCAGGAAGCAGGCAGGAAGAGCAAGTGGTGTGGGGGGTGCAGGGACCAAGGGATGGGACAAATGTCAGGGAGGGACAGACAGCAAGGGGCAAGGTGCAGGTGGAAACAATATGCTGGGGTCCCCTGCCTCTTTTCCGCTACACTGCCTGCCCCCTGCCACTGCTTTCCTGAACAATTCCAGTAATAAGATTCTCTATATGGAAAATTATAGCAAAGTTATACATTTTCTTTGTATAGAAAAGGGGGGGGGTCATCTTACAGTCAAAGTTTTCTTGGATTAAGGTAAATATGATAATATAGTCACCATTGTGATATGTTCCATCTTCACTGGCCAAGAAACTAGCAGGCCATTTATTTTCAAAACTTCATCTAGTGGCAAAACACTATCTGCTTTCATCTGGAACCCAGTTTATTTCTTTCTCAAAAAGCCCACTGATTTTTCATAGTCACTATTATAAACCTTACAAAAGTGAGAGTAGAGAAAATGTTTATGAGGAAATCACTTAATTTCATGCAAAGCTTTCTATACTGCTATTTTTCTTGTATCATTTTCTTAAACCAAGCCTGTCAATGTTTATTCAACATTTGTCTGCTAATTTGAAATTTTTTCAGTAATTTCCTGAGCAGCAGGATTCACATTGCTGAAGTAAAATATTGTAATGGATACTGGACCCTTTGGACAACAAATAAAACAACCACCCCAAAATCAAGAAATACAATTGTCACAACATTCATTTACCTGTGGACCATTTCCTGGTTTCAAGTGATAGCCAAAAACAAGTTCAAGGTTCACTGTTTTCTCCACGTTTTCTTCACTTCCGCTTGCAGAATCCTACCACAGAAGTGCAGTGTAAGAAGAAGTTTCTACCTTGAATCATTCTCAGACAGAAGCAGAGCTAAGTCTGAGAGTTAAGAGTCTAACCCTTCTATGTCATAAACCTGTTAATGGGAATATCCTCTCACAGGGCCAAATTCTATTTCACTTTATTCTACTTCACTGAAGGGAAGCATTTCAGCTCTACACGTGTCATTTTTGGCACTGAAGCACAGTTTGTGATTCAATCACTTGGACCGTGTGGGGAAAGAGAACATGGTAGAGAGTATGTGGCTATTCTGAGAGTAGCCAAGGTAGAGAGAAGGATGCTATTTTGAGAGTAGGCCCCGTGTGTTAGCATAGACTCCTGCTCTCAAGAGGACAGACCATTCCCTACAGCTCTCCATCCCTATCTAATACCTATTAGAAGCAAGGTGCAATGGCTCAGTTTCAAAAGGAGCACATACTTGCCTGGCCAATATGTAGCTTACTGAACATTGTCAGTAGCCACATAGACACTTATGTGTCCACCCTGCATAGGTAATAGAATCACAACTGGTGTGTAAGTGCCAAAAGTGTCATTTACATGGCTGGAAAACTGACACTTGGGTGCATACAGTAAAATACACTTCTGCCCTCAGTGATGCAACCCATTAAAACATGTACCAAATCTCACACCTTAGATTCTGTGACATTATCTACAGTAGTAGCTTCTGTCAGGGCCAATTCCTGGGAGGTATTAAGTGCCTAACACACCATGTAAAGCACCTGTTTCATAAACTGTTTTCAGGTGGTTTATAACAGAACAAAAGTATGGGGGCACCAAGTATAGTATTTCCTTATTTACTATAATAGAATCAGGAAAGATGGGTACATTATGGGCTGGATCAAGGCTGCCTTTTGCTTAAAGGTAAGCAGTTACTTATACAAGTATCCCCACTGACACACAAGAGGCACCATCCAGCCCTCTCATATTATCTCAATGTTACCACCTGTAGTAAATAAACATCTTTTCCATCATAATTTTTTTGAAATTCATCAAGAGTCTTACTGTCATTTTACCAGGTTTTCTCACATATACCACACTGTAGAAAATAACACATGCTGTTTTTGAAAGGCAGAATGAAAATTTTTCCCTTCCCCCAGAGTTAGTTCCATAGACATAACCTAATCTTCAGCTGACTCGCTCTCCATTTCCTGCTTAACTAAAAGCAAAAACCCTAACTACTGCTGAAGATTGCTCTCCATGAGTGGATTTATGATTCTGAAAAGACCTAAAGAGTCTCCAGGGCTCTGAAGCAAGAAGACAGACCAGGAACTGCTAACAAACAGCAGTATTGCTCCAAGAAAGGTTAGCTTGATTTGTGGAACATCAAAATCATCAAAAAGTAGAGCTGATTGTTAACACCTCTGAAGTGAAGAACAATGAGCCATTAGGTCAACTGACTCCCTCAGCTGCCTTAAATAGCCCCTGTGAAGCAGGAATACCCACTGTGAAGCAGAGTGCTTGTATCCCAGGCAGACAATCAGCTTCCCGGCTTAATGCGTGCACCCTTATTATGAGGGGCTCATTTTTGGCAAAAAGATGCATGTTATATGTAAGAAAACTTGGCACTTCGTTCTGATGCAAGTATATATATTGCTAGTCTGACTGTAAGACTCTGTTACAGACAGTGGCACACATGGGTGTGTGCTCTGCAGTAACTATAACTCCTGCTAGCACCACTTCATCACAGGAAGGAGTAAATATTTGTGTCAAGACAGGAACCACATTTTAAATAAAGAAATGCTTGCCTTAGTTAACGGTGGAAAGTGAAACATGTTTAGGTAATCGTGAGTTAACTTCTCAATAGCAGTCTGTAAAAAACAAGCAAAATCAGACAAGTTATTTACCATCTAATAGCATCAACATAGGTCTGAACATGGAGTGTAGTGTGTGCATGCATAAGTTAATTGTGATGCATAAAATTCTTTGCAGAACACCTTAAAATATAGACCTCTTTCAATAAATGGCTGTGAAACTTCCCAATACTACTTGGCAGATCTATCTGCTGTGAGTATTCAGAATCAGATCTGCTTAATTTAATTCCCAAAAAAGCTCTTTTCCTGTTTTCACTCCTGCTCACTCAGGTCAGGCAACTCAGGTAACCATCAGTGAGCTGCACTGTCTTTTTCATTTTGTGCATCAGCAATTTATTTACTAAGTTTCAATAAGTTTCACCGAAGGCAATGGGGGTTGCACATGCCATTAATGGTACGAAATGGAAACAATAGGACTGTGGAACCCTTTTTGTTGTGGTGATGCGCAAGACAGAAAATAACCCAGCTTGACTCTTGGAGCTCAGGTTAAATTTACAGGGTTGGCAGTTAGAAAAAAAAGTGTCCTTTTTCTAGTAAATTGAGCACACTTGATACAAAATCATTGAAACACAATGGAACCCCACAATGCCATTTTTAAAGAGCCATTTTTCAGAGTAGAACCACAGGTATCTACACCCTCTTCTGTGACAATAAGTATTATTACCACCACTGCTCCACAACTAATATTTTCCAGCCCACGATTTTGCTGGATTCAGCATAACTATTAAACAATTAGAACAGCGTAATCTTTTGTAGATGAAATAAAGCTCAAACAGCAAAGCAGCCCTACTCTGCCAATCATTTAGAGGCATAGACAGATGGAACATTTACATCAGTGTAATTGGCATTACACTGGTGCAAAAAGGTAGCAGAAAGATGATGCAAATCCCTAAATCAGGGTAATTTCAACCAATTTGGAGTAGAATTACTCCTGAAAGAATTAAGGATAAAACTCTAGTGGTATAACCTTCACCATTTTGTATTTCCATGTCCATCGCAGAGACGCACAGAAACAACATACTACTGTTTGTAGTCACTCTGGGATAGCTTCATGTCTGTGCTTTCCTGATCCTGCTGTAATTTACATTATGTACAAGAAAACATAAATTACACTGCCTTGCGCATTCATCCCTTTGTGCCCTAACTTTAAAATTGCTTAGGGGGGGCAGGCAGAGATTTGTATGGATAATAACTAAAGCTCAGGAAGAAGTCAAGAGATTTCAGTTCAACCAACTTTTGGTACTTGTTCAAAATACTTTGATCAAACTTGAAATCTTGTGAGGGCACGATGTCTTAATATTTACAAAGGTTTCAGTTGAGATCTATTAGTCCAATTCATGCTCTATACAAAACCATGTCACGAAGAAGAGGATTGTGATGTCTTTCTCTTTTTAGAGACAGAATGGAAAAAAAGATGATAGAAATTTTTGTCAGATCAGAAAATATTCAGATTTGCTTATTGGGGATAAATTCTGTGAGTTCTTGAATTCAAATAGTTTTAGGGGCTTTTTGGTTTTGTTTTGTTTTTTTACTGGATAAAAGTGATAATTCCTGTCAACTTTTACACTACATACAATTGCAGTAATCAAGACATGCCATTAAGATACCTTTAAGTGAATGATGTGTCCTTTAGAAACAATTCCCATATCCTTTAAATCATCTTCTTCTAGAAGAAGCAATCGTTTCCCAGTAATATGATGTTTCTTAAAAAAGTTGGCATAAATGCTCATGTCGCCAGAAGTATCACCTGATGATATGAAAGGTAATTCAGAAATCCATACTGCTATTTAGCAGGAACAAAATTAATGGTTTGAGCCAAATATGAGTGCAGTATACGTATGAATAGATTTTACCTTTTCTAACAAGCTGGTGAACCCAAAAATACTGTGAAAAAAAGGAACAGATTGGAAGGTTACATAATTAAAACTTTGCATTTTGTAGCAATTCAAAACACTTCAAAATTTAATCTGAATAATTTAATTTTAACACAAAATATACAGGTCTTTTCAGCTGTGGAACAAGGAAAGCAAACATCTCTTTCATATTAACTTCCTGGGGCAAGTTGCTGGGTTATTATTTTTCTTACTTAAATGTTCTTATCTTTTTCAGGGTTGTTGGTTGTAGCCATCTAAGGACATAGACAGACAAGGTTCTTTGGGTAGATGTGATACCTTTTATTAGCCCAACTAAATAGTTGGAAAAATTGTTCCTTTACACCAACAGACTCTCTTTATGCCTGAAGAAGGGTGTTTGTGCCTGAAAGCTTGCAAATAACAATTTTTCCAACTATTTAGTTGGGCTAGTAAAAGATATCACAGCTACCCAAAGAACCTTATCTGCCTTGTATTTTTCAGGCATTTTCTCCATTTTTACATTCATTTGGAAATTGATGTTACCCTAATATAAGTTTTAGCAACCTCTCATGTAATGGAAGATGGTGATGAGCAGATAAGACTATTACTATAATTGCATTGCCTTTTTAGTTAGTTCTATGTTAACTTTACTTAAATCAGCCAGGGCCAACCTTGCCACAAATTAGCCCTGCACCTATAAGACTGCCAACTCCTATCCCAATCTGATGCTCTACTTTGTGCTTCTTGCCCTCTCGGCTGATGTGCTATCTGTCTCCTCCCTGATGCATCATGTGCCACATGCAGAGGCTGCTCATGCTGCAGGTTGGCTACCCCTCTGATGTAAATTACCATATTATGTATGTATTTCAAGTGAGTGATAAAAAGGACATTAAGAATACTGCGAAATAAAGACATGTTGGAGGGAAATATCTGAACTTTCCTGCTTGTCATTTAAATTAAACAAGTGTTCGAAGTAGGATATGAAGTAGGCACAGTAGCTAAAAACAATCGCATTTCATATTTTACTGTATATGAAAGTGGTTTTCCCTACCTTTCAGAATCTTACTTTAAAGCAAATTCCCTGATGGCATGAGCAAAGAGGCTGCAATGTTTGAAATCCCCCTCTCTTGGCACTGGTTAGATATGCATTCTTAGGGTACTACAGCATTGCCTGGTTCATGCCTATGTCAACATAAATTCAAAGGTGATAACCTCTCAAGCTAAATGTTTCTGCAGACATTTCAACATGTGACCATTTAACCAAGGCTGATGAAATCCTTAATCTGTCAGGCCCAAGTTGTTTTGAAACCTCTTTGGAACAGGAATTTTATACATATGCAGTGCTATAATCTTATCAGAGTTGTCAAGTCACTGCAATCTAGATGCCATTTAGAATGATTTGCAATATTTTTACTTTATAGCTACATCAATACAATGTTGATTGAAATAATAAAAAACTGCTTACCACATCTTCTTCAGTCCATGCGCATATATCAAAGGAAGGCAGCAACTGTGAGAGACATGAATTAGAAAGAGCAAAATTGTTCTTGTCTGATTATTTACCCTCCCTGACTTTATTTTGGTGGCTAATTTAATGTGGTACTTTTTATTCTGCGAAGACAATGTATCTTCTGGCATAAGGAGGACTTTGTTCATTATATCATGGATTGGGTAAAGCTGTTCCCGGAGTCTAATATACATCATATTCCCAGATTAAATCTATTAATTTGATACAGATTGGCTTCAGTGATGTAATGGTAGTGACAGATTAATCCCTTCACCTTCAGGAGCCAAAATTATTCAGAACATTCCCAAGTGAAAAACAAAGTAATCTTAGAATATCACCCACCCAGTTCCTTCACAGCAGGACTCACTATGAGCCACTCCCCCCTTTTGTTGACTATTAGAAAGAGTTTGGTGCTACTGTGGATTTTTGCTACAATTTAACTTCAGTACTGAAAGGAGCGTCTTGATCTTCTGTCAGCATCATCTGTCAGAGCAGGTTTCAGTGGTGTTCCGAAGAGAGCATACCTGACTGGGAACCGGGCCACTGCAGGTAATCTTCCTTATTAATTAAATGTATAAGGCTGTTTGCTCCCTTCTTATATTTTAGTTTGTGCTTAGGCCTTCAAGGTCATACCTCTGAGGAACTATGGATTTCAATGTTTGAAGGAAGTACTTCCCAATTTAGCTAAGTGCTATAGTCCATGCACAGCATCCTATGTTATAAACAAAATCCCATGGCTTGGGCTATGAAAGTATGAGGGGATCATGAGCGATGCATGAGAGAAGGGATATGTTAATGAAGGACTGGATTGTTTAAAAAAAATGAAACAGTAGAAGATTTCACTAAGATAGTGATGTTTTCTAACCAGCAAGAGTATGGGCTCTTAAGCTTTCTCATCAACTCACTGGTATCCTGTTAATGGATAAAGTTATTTTATGTGTATTTGAAATATCAATTCCTCCCAAACTTTGATCATTATTAGCTGGCTACAAGTTTATTGAATTATTTAAATACCGTATTAACTCATATTTAACAAATAGGATTGCCCAGTGGCCCTTGGCTTTTGCTTTCTCTTTCCATTGTGAGCTAAGCTTTGTAGGCCTTTTTAACCCAAATTATCCAATCTCTTAAGAACCACAGACTCTTCTCCCCAGACATCCTCCACATATGCCTGGGCATGACAGCAGAATGCTGCCCACATGTGCAAGTTATTCTTTACCTATCATGCTACTTCTTTCCATGGCTTGGCCAGCTCTGGGGAAACAGGACAGGTTGCCTGTCATCCTTCCAAAGCAACTTCTTGCATCCAGATATGTGAAAAGCCTTCCTGCACAAGACTGTTGCTGAAGCAATCATGACCGGCCTCCACTTGTGGCCTACGTCCTCAGTTAGAATTCCTGCTGTTCCTTAACCTTAGATGTACTCCAAGATACAGAGAGGAAAGTCAAGTCTCCATTGGCTCTGCACAACTGCTTTCAGAGGAAATACCTTGCTGAGCACACCCCATTGACCAAACCGGTTGGGTCAACTGGCATGTCCTCACATTTGCTCTGCTACCCTTCTTGCTAGAATTTTCTGGGACAAAAATGGTCTCCTTAGATGGAGAGACCCATTGATGTCTGGGCTAAACATCAGATGGGATAGACAGATTTGACACTTCACTGTTGAGCCAGTCTTCACAACCTAAGTCAGAAAAATACAGGAAAACTGTCTTGTGTCAGTTATATGTAGGATAGGAAACTGATATAGGAAAGCAACACACACCTGGCGAATAGGTGGGGCAGCATCTGGCAAACCATGATGTCCAATGTGAAAGGGGGGGCCCACATTGCTTGCAATAATCAATATAATTATTGCACTTGAATTCCAAATATGGTGGTGCCTGTGTTTGCCTAATAAGCTTGATAGAATATTTATATTATTGAACTGTCTACTGCACAAGCTTAAAATTGCATTCACGACTAGGCAAAGTAACTTTCCAGAGGATTTCCATTTTTATGGGAAGAAAAATAAAGTAACGTAATGTTAAATCTTTTTTAAAAACTAGCAAAGAGAAAATCAGAATAAAGGACTCCACACTCTGGTTCATCATTTGCACACTTGGCAGACTGCAATAAGGACATTGGTATTTCACACAGGAACATGGATGCATAAAAAATTACTGTCAAAATGTTTATTGCAAAATGGAAGTTTGGAACAAAAAGAAGCAAAAGAAAAAGTTCACATCAAAATAAAATTTCTGACACCAATTGAAAACAGAGAACATTGCATATTCTTTTTTTTTTAATCTGAAAACTCAAATTCATATTGTGAATAAAGAGGACATCATATGTCAAGTGCAGTAAAGAAAATAAGTGACTCTAAAAGACCTTTCCACACAAGGTTGTAAAACTGCATGTTCCATACACATTATATATTCAGTTTATGCCATAAGTATTTGGACACAGGCTTTGCTCAGCATTATTTTTCAGAAGGGAGGATGACATTTCCTAATTCTGTAAAAATAATTTCTATTCATGTTTCACCTATCACACTTGTTACACAAATAGCATCATTTCCTATTACTTAGTACAAAACATTTTCAGTTGTGCAAAAGCAAAAAATGCAGTGAACTATATCAGACCTTAAAAGGCAATAAAATATTCTGCACGCAATACAAAAGGTTTAATTAAGGTATGTTACTGGTACTACAGTTCTGAAATTAATTTTCATACATCAGAAAGCTCTATGTAACTTCATAGTATACACTTAGATGAAATCTGGGGAAAAAAGAAAATGCATCTATCTCCAAATTTCTGCTGGTAGATTCAAAGGACTATAAAAATGATCGCATGTCCTATGAGCTTGATTTGCAACATGAAATTTGGAAGAAGAAAACAGATTCTATCCTGAATAGTAATTAAACCTCTGTCAAGTTAGAGGTCTAGTTAAAAACCTGTTAAAGCTGCCTGATTACAGAAAGGAAGGAACTACAGTACTAAAAAATACAGTAACTTTGCTATCCATTTGCATGATATGCATGGTGTGAATCTACTGCTGCTGCTTACTATATAAATCATTAATGTTTCAGTATTTATTTGAGAATAACTGTTTTAAGAGCAACAATGAATAAAATCAGTATCTAACAAAAACTTCAAATGATAAATGAAGGACAAAAAACTCAAGAACACACCATGTGCCAAGGAGCTGTCAAAGTTCATATCTCAGAAAAACTCTGCCTCTAGGGAGATTAACTCCAAGTACTTCAGTTGCAGTAAACAAATCTGGCCTACTGATTAAGCATATCCCAAACACCCCCAATGTTCTTTGCCAGACAAAACTGCAAGTACCTACTCTGGATTCCTTTAAGAGTCAATTGATGTTTATCTTGCTGGGATCCTTTGACCCCAGCTGACTTCCTGCCCCTGGGGCAGGAGGCTG